GAAGACACAGAAAGGGGCAATGGTACCACAGAGGTCCACACTAGACCATAATCCAACATCTAGGTGACCGATATATGGTCCTCAGCGCTTCTTGATTTTTCTTTGAGACTGCTGAAGATAAACACTAAGTATCTGGTGTTTGTTCTTTGTAAAATAGTGAGGGCGGATGCCCCTTTGAAGCAATGCCAGAGTTTAATATGATTGTGCTCAAAAAGTTCTTCCTGTGTCATGTTTATATTTTTTTGGTAAACAATTGTAGTCTCCTATATACCGGGTATTAAAATGTGAACACTTTTATCTAATTTAACACGCTTTTGTTTCCTTACAAAAGACTAATACCAGATTTTGTGTTTTTCTCAATAAAAATAACATAAGATGTGATTTATTTCCGTGTGACCAACACTCGTTTCTGGAATAATCTTCATCTGGTACTCTCATAACCCAAAATTTGGATAGTAAACAACGAAACAAAATGTTTGGGAGCGAAAAAAAAAACAAAGTGCATAACCAGAACAACCTAAATAGTCTGCGATTAATTTTCCTGATCATGCCAATCAATACTGAAGTACCGGCTACTAAACGAATTGTACCCTCGGGGACTGATTGTCTATCGGAAGCAGTACCTGCATAGTGATACAGGTATGATATGACATGCTTCGATTTACATTCGTCGACTCCTGTTATGTTGGTTTCTACATCATACATTTTAGCATTAAAAAGTTGAACAAACTAGTGAATGTTATTTGCGAATTTTACAGAAAAAAAAACACAATGTTGGTTTCTACATCATACATTTTAGCATTAAAAAGTTGAACAAACTAGTGAATGTTATTTGCGAATTTTACAGAAAAAAAAACACAATGTCTATATTAGTATCTCCTCAAATCTAAACAAGCTGTAAACGAATTAAACAAAAACTACCTAAGATAACTTCATTCATTAAAGGATCGCAAACAAAGATATAGCTTAATTCGGGAATATAGACAACAAAAACATGACTATAAGTAAAATAGCATTAAATATATATAGTATTTTATCAAAGTATGCTGGCAGTTTCTCTTAAAGAAGGATTTTAAGGTACTATAAGATCTGCTGATATAAATAAATCATGCCTCTTACTATAATAACGGCTTTTGTAAAAAAAAAATATACAGAAATGCCGAACTCTAAGGCAAATTCGAAAAGGGGAAGTACACAATAACTGACAAATGCAAACGCTACCAACCAACGGAACGAGTGAAAAACATCTGTCATTAACTGAAGATTTCAAATGTAGCAACGTTATGAACATTACAGGAAAGCACAAACTCGTGCAATATATCGAGTGAAAAGAATAAATCCAGTAAAGAATAAAACCTAAATGACTTTTTCTCATGTTTATATTTGAACTTACTTACGTCCACGTGATTTTATCTATGGTGGATAGTTGTGTCATTGGCAAGCATGCTACATCTACGCATTTCTATGTTGATGTCAGGGTTTATCAACTGTTGCAGGATGTGTATAGTAACTATGCAAATCCTTGGTTTCTATTATTAATTTATTCATAGATATACGGTGGCGTGAGGATTTTTGTTTTCTTATACTCAAAGAGATAAGAGTCTTTTTTACAAAATTTAATACAAAGGAAGGATACCAAAGTTTCTTAAAATATAACAATCTCACGACGTATATACATATACAAACATGAGAGTGAAAATGATAGGAATCTCTGAACACGAGCGGAATGAGACCAGTTTTGTCTACTACCAAGTATGTATCAATCAGGAATTCGTCATAGGCTTCCAAACTAAGCCACTGCCAAGAACATAGTAAGACCTTTATATGGATATAGACAATTATATTAGCCTCTTTTATTTTAGCTCATTCAAATTCCATCGCATGACGTATATTGTTGAGCGTTTCTTTCATCCTATTTTTTTCAAGATATTAAGCTGATCAAACGTATAAGGAGACAGTAATACACTTGAACATGACAATATTCAATTCTAAGCTTCTTTCTGTCATCTCTGTTATATATCAATCTGATTTGCCTTATTCCTTGTCATTCCACTGTATAAACAGTCGACAGAAAAGATCTTCAAGCAGCTTTATGTTAAAAGAAGCTGGATTGATAAACAGGTGTATACCCTCAATAATGTTTACATTATCTTATAATTGTTTGCACTAGTGTCTTCTTTGTATATACGATTTATAATAAAGTGGAGATTTATAAATGGATTAAAATGAGCGCATTCAATAATATTCATTTGAGATCCACACATTTCTGTAAAGTTTTTATTGGTTTACATTCAACATACATATGTGGAGATATGGATCATACCTGTAATTTTAAAAGATTTTTCCAATTCAATTATAAAATTCTTTAAGTTAAATACATAGGATGTGGTGCGATAGCAGAAGAGGCACAATGACCAAATATTGCTTTAATTATATTCTAGATATACTCGACATTTAGGGGTTTTTAAAAGTTTAATTTTCCCCGATAACATGGTTTTGAGCATCACTATATGGAAAGATTCTTGATTTATCAAAGGGTATCATATATTTATCAGATAATTTCGTTCATCCGATAGGTCTATGAATTTTGTCGACTTAACGTTAAATGAACTGATAAATATACGGGTTAGTACCTCATTACATTAAAGTATAAAAATCTAAAACATTTTATATTCGCTTTTCATATATGTGTATACCCCACGCTTCAAAATAGCGGGGTATATACTTTTTAATCTGTCTGACAGTCTGTCCGTCTGTCCGTTCGTCCATCATTATTCCTGTAGTGTAAAATGTAATTCAACGAATAAAGTCATTAATCCAGATCTATAACACGCGTGTATTCAAATGAAATATTCGCTATCCATGCTAGATGTATGAAAGTTGAAACAAACAAGTGTTTGTCCTGGTTAACATTTTGAACTATTTATTATTGCACACAGCGATGTCCTTTTTTAGTCATAATAAATGTTCATTTTTTATCTTGAGATGCATGTTACATACTAAATAATTCTGTTCGAAAACTTCGTAGGTTTAGGAACTGCTTTCTGAATTTTTTTTATGAATGAGACTGTTAAATTCAACACAATTTTGTGTGTAAGTTACTGTCCAGATATGTTACAACATGCTTTAAATTTCAACTGTCCAACAGTCATGCCATAAACTTCACGTCATGATCTATATATTTTTGTCTTTAATTATGAATACAAGAGAAATAAAACTTGGCTACTTGAAATGTGATTAAAAGATGTTAATCTCATACATGGCCTCTGGAAAATTGCCCCCCCCCCTTCCCCCTGAAATGTTCTCCTTCGTCATAATATTGGTTATGAAGTAAATAATGTTTAAAAATCACAAACCGTCGGTTGCTATCAATTACTACAGGATGTATATCTTTTGCGACTTATGAAAAGGTTTTACTGAAATTGCGAAACAAATTTAACCAAAACTTAATACATGTATGCTTCAATGAACAACATTTCAAACAAATTTCAATAAACAGAATACGAAGTAAAAACTGCTTTTTCAAAAAGGATAAAATTAAATCACATTTTCTCAAGTTACTTATACGGTTTGCATTGCTGTTCTTGAATGTTACATTTACAGTTGAGTTCAATTCAATGCCGTGTCAAATTTTCTTTACATGCATATCTACTCAGATAAAAACTGAACTTGTAATAGAGAAGCATCTTGTATTTCAATATAGATTTATTTTACTTATACAATTAAAAAAAATGTTGTAGAGATTTCCTATCATGAATTTTGAAGTATTCACCATATAGTATATATTCTTATTAGTCCATTCACATTAATGAATTTTATCATTCTATTTAGTGTAAACTGACGTGTACGTATTTTTCATTTTGCACAGAACACTCATGTATACATACATTTTCAGTACTCCAGAGTGCTGTTTTAAATCTCATGCAACGATATTTGGATTCCAAATTTAATTTAGTGTGCGATACAATGTTTAAATTGTCTAAATTTGCAAAGTGAAATGCCGAATAAACGGCAAGTTTACAAAAATTGGTAGTTGCCGCATTTTTCGCAAAGCAAGCTACAATTACGAGTGAAAGTAGACTTGGTGTCAGAATAATATATATCGCTGGGTTTTCTGTCTTCAACTCGATTGTTTCCTTGTATATGCAAATGTAATCCCGAATCAGTGTTTCTGTCTTTCTAAGATGATAAGAAAATACGAGCTCATAAAATGTAGTCGTGCAAAATACTAGCAAAAGACACCGATGCTTTATGCAAACGAATTCCTAATTTTGGACAGATACAAAACAAATGGTGGGTTAATTGGCAATCTAGGTACACCTATATCGCTCTATTTAATAAATTTGAATATAAATAGTAAAACAAATCAAACAAACACAAAACACGTTTTTAGAAAAGTATTAGTAAATGATAGTACAATTAGTACAAAAACGCATGTTGTCAAAGCTATCATTAAACGGATCTTTGTAAAATAAAAAAAACTTGCATATTATCAAATAAAAGTACCGTAGTTTAAACAGTACACAACAAAAGCTCTATAAGATAGATCTCGTCTGGATCACCAGAAAAAACTGGAAGACTTATCACCCGAATTCGTGTAGATGTTTGACAACATCAAAGTGACAATTAGTCTATCGTAAATTTGTAAGATTTAAGGAGGCTAATTTGTCATGGTCAATGGCGTGTCGTTTTCTTGAAGACATTGACGGAGTTGTAAGTGCAAATAATTTGAAAGTTACAGCAAATAAAGGGAATAATAAAATTTCATTGATAATACAAGGACTTCTAATCGACGTTTATAATATATTATTAAACCGAAGGGAAAATATATTTGGAATTTTAATGATATAGATACATGCAATAAACTCTACAAATACGAATTCAAATGTTTGGACGTTAATTACATCTGCAAACCCCGGTTACGTTATTAGTAGAAGCTTCACCTGAATATATATCATAATATGCCCTTATGACCACATAGAGGTACATCACATCTTTACCTTGTATCTATTAAAGTTAATGTGTTCCTAGAAATATAAATTGAGAAAAATTGCTAATAGTCCACCGAAGGTGATGGGGGTATGTTTCATTACCGAAGGAAAATACAACAAAAAGCTACTGTGACTGTCTAAAAAGTCACAATTTTGTAATTATAATACGATTTAAGTTTAATAGGTGGATAGATATATATTTATATGGACGTATGGATGGATTGGATGTATTGATCGATAGATAAATTCACATTTGTAATTATGGACGGATGCATGGCGAGAGAGGGAGAGACTGGGAGGTTTTTTTTATTTAACTTAAAAGTTTGTGTTGTGTCTACATTAGTATAAAGTTCATTTATGATGGGTAATTTGACAAGTTATATATTTAGATATTTATGACAAAATTAAAAAAGGCAGATTTACAGTGAGATATAAAATATATAACAGGAAGGATATATAATATAATAATAGACGATATCGACATCAAATGTCAACATTGTCTACATTCTAGACAGGTAATGTGACTTATTTATAATCCCACACACAAGTCCTAGTTAACTGTCACTTGGTTGATCAAGTACAATTTTACTTGGTATTTTGACATAACTTTGGTAACCTAAAACGTATTTTCTTATTTTTAAAATCGCAGAAAAGATTGTGAAGACATCGATTGATTGATTGATGGTTGCTTAACGTCCAGTGACACTTATTTCATGCATGTTCAGGACGAGAACAAATTGACAATACATGCAAACGGTAGGTCCTGTAATAGGGGTCGTCCGGGAGGAAGGTCGGGAAATTTGAGAGAATATAGCACGAAAACTAGTAATGTTAGTAGAAATAATCTAAAATGCTATAGAAAAAAAATCAGGTAACAACCAAAAAACAATTGGCGGAAAACTTTGATGAGATTTTTCGTCTTTTAGTATGCTTTATTTTTCTAATAAATAATTCTACTAAAGCTAGGGGTTTCGAGGTAAATGAAAAGCGTTAAAAAGGAAAAGTCCATTATAAATTAGTAGCAAATTCTACCTATTTATCAACGTTTGGTTGACAACTGGATGCCCATTGGTATTGTCCGTTGTCGGTTTACATTATGGACATTTTAGAAATAAAAAATTAAAAGGATAAAAGAGATGTCATGTTTATTTTGTCTATTCATTCATTTGCCCACTCGTTTTAGCTGCCACAAATTTGGAATAGATTATTCTACTATTACTCGAAGCTTTTTTGATAAATGATATTTCATGCAATTATCTCTGAAACTTGATGTAACATAATCGTTCCGGTTTTCAACAGAACAAGTTATATGGAATTCCCTCGTTGCTATATCCGACCTTTTTCGCATCCATATGAAAGACATGATTGTTCCATATCATGAAACATGCATGTAATAAAAAAGAAAACATGGTTTTTGTCTAAAAAATCAAATAAATGGACAATAGTGATTACTGATATCTGTTTGTGATTATGTAATCATAACATTTTAATTCGTCATAAATTTGTCTTTTACATGATTCTTAATGTACAAGCTGTCACTCAGTAAAAAATAAGTTCTCAAGATTCGTCGATCTACATGAGGTCATTTATCTAACGGGTACATTAGTTACAAAGGTTAGGCCTAAAGCCAAACATGTATTACGATAATTATTGTAACACGTTAATAATTAGGTTAAAAACCCGAACTAAACGAACGTGCGCGTACTGTATAATCTTGAGTTTTATTTTCAGGAACCGATACAAATTATTTGTTCATTCCATGAAGGTCTATAATTAACAATACTATGACATATCGTATTACAACTGGTTATTCAATTAATTGAAAAATTATTTTCCAGATTTATTTTTCTAATCACCAGTACATAGCATGACATTGATGTCGAAATTGACACCCCAGACATCCAGATACCCGTGATTTTCTGTCTATTTCGTGTTGAGATAAGATTAATAATGTCGTGTAAACGGCTTAGCTTCATCATTAAACTACGTCAAAATCAAGATAATTTTGAATGAGACTTAATTAACCGTGTAAATTAAAACTGATCGTTATAAACCGTAAAACTTGTGTAATTAAGGGCATTTAAATCATATTTTTGTTAAAAATTTTTGTTTTGATATGGCGAGGCATCACTGGATCGTTTTGTACAGACTCTTAAGGATTAATGTTGAGCTTTGCCATTGGCTGTCAGTTGAGATGAAACTGTATTTAAGTAATTTAACGGGTCAATTTGATGATTTATAAGGAATTTTTCAATCTTGACAGAATTCCTCAGAAGTCCAAATTCAATAAATTGAATTTTCCTCTATTGCCATCTAACTTGATAAAGAACTTTTCCTGAACACACTTCTATCCTTTCAAGTAGTCATTTATCATTTGAGATTATACTAGATGATAAGCATTTTGCAGTAGTTCAGAGTAGTTACAAGAACTATTAAATGCATTAGGGGGAAATTAGTTAAACAATTACTTCGACTGCTCATACACTAATCATTTTTATATGTATTAGAATATTTGACGAATTGGAATAGGAGGGTCGGTGTCGCTTTAATTAAAGGAAAATAACATTACACTACGACAAACATCATTACGCAAAGTAATAAATTCTAATGATTTACAAAGCAACCACCGTTTACTCAATATCGAATTTCTTCAACCCGAGTAAATGAATGTAAATATGTATTATGTATTCAGTTTAAAAGGAAAAAATATGTAAATGTTCAGTTCGTTTTATAAATAGAATAATTTTGTCGTTTGTCATTAAATCGTTGTCAATTCTATGTCGTTTGTTGTTGACATTACACTTATGATATTTTATTTAAATTATTAGCAAATGAAATCAATTAATATGTTTTATTAATTGTCTTACCTGTCTCACGTCAGCGGGCGTTGGCGATACGGTACTAAGTGTTGCTTCAGCCTGATTAGCAGTATTGTTTATATTTGCCCACGATGATTTTAAGTTTTTATAGTCGCCAAGTGTAATAATAAAATTTACAGTAACAGACACTAATGCAATAACTAATATTATATTCCAAAAACAACAACATTTCATTCGCATAGAACCTTTCTGTCCCCAGTGCGAGCTCGATTCAAAGGAAATGGAACGGATTCTACCGTTTCCATTTCTCTTCAAATCTGGCTTTTCTTGCAAAGAAACATGTTCGGGATCACGGAACACTATTTGTCCATCTTCTAATCCGGAGCTGCTGCATGTATCTTCATTATTATCCAAAGTATATACCACATATTTATCCGAAGCAGGACTACCTATTGGCATGTTTAACACCTCTGCCGTTCACCGTGTCATGTTGTCAACTGATTGATCTGTGATGATCCTAAATATCTATACATGCCTGACCAGGCATGAAGTTTTGTAGATATACCTTTTTGTAGCGATAAACTGATCCGTTCTTTTAATTGATCTAACAGAAAATCTATTAAAAAGATATTGCGTTCAGGTTCACAGTGCATTAAATGCAGGTGAATCCACCACTATTGACTGATATTGTGACATAAAAACTTCAGTTAATAATTGGATTTCTTAAACTTATATAATGTATAAACATTTTTATAAAGCACGTAGGTCCATTAAAGTCGAAAGAAATATTTATTTGTTTAATTCATTGTGAAAGATTCCGTGTTTAGAATTTATTAATACAATGATTTGTGAAGATCCGGTGACACTAACCAGTCTTTTGATTATCACATTTTTATTAGTCTGATTCAAACAGTAGATAACATTAATCTGCTTAAATATAGCGAAATAATAAATATAATTTTCAAGTACGATTTAAGTTCGTTAATTCCAACAGTTCACAAGTGAATGCTCCCACAACATGTGCTGAATAATAAAAAGCTGACCAATTCCTATCGATTGGTTAATTAGTTCAATTCCAACTATACACAGACATCTACAACTCTATCGCACTTGCTTTGTGAATGTTGAAATTACTGAGTGATAAACCTTAATAATAGTCTGACAAATAATAAGCAAATTGTGACGGATACAGTCCCGGTGAATAGAGGAAAATCCGTTTACAGATATATGTGTCCCTACTGGACACAAAAGGTGACTTCCAATTAAATCTTATACTGTCGCTGTTAGTCTGACACTACAATTATAGACGTGTATTGGCGAGCCGGACGCACCTGCTTCCAAACTGATTGGACTTCTCCTAATCAATGTAATTGACAAGAATCAGAGTGACGGACAATGAAAAATTCTTTCTCCTTGATTTGTTAAGGAAATTAAAAGTTATCTCTGTTAAAGGAATCCGTTACATCTTTGTTTTAAGCTGTATTCAGTATCGTTTCAATGCTACGGTGAAGTAAACATCAACCAACATCCATAATCAATGTTATCTAATGAAAATTAAGTTTCACTTTCAATATCGGTTGAAGATAACGGTTTTTTAATTCCACAAAACAGATTAAGCCTTTTTATTCACAACTTAATAGAATATATTGATGCAAGCTTATTTTTTCCTACTGTGTGTGGTTTCTCTAGAGAAGAAACGCGTTAGAATCTTGTCAATTTTTTCTCGGGTTTCCTTAAATAATGTTCATTGTGCCGTATTTCTCAGATGATGCATGTAATGAATTTTCTTTTACCATTTGTAAATTAGTTTCTACATTATATTGGAATCTTTTCCCCTAAGTTTTCTTGTTTAATTAAATTGTTTTCTGACTTTAAGCTCCAAATCACTTATAACACGGACCCTAAAGAACAGCCTAAAATGGATTGATGTATGACATAACGTCACTGCGAATTACAATCCCGACAACATTATACGCTTTTTATATTCTGATCTTAACAGAGTTATAATTCAATCCGTGAAATACGAGTTCTTCTTAACACTGGAGCCGTTTGCCATGGATTTGCATATAAAATTACGACTAGAAAAAAGAAGAAGAAATAAATCCTAATTGCAATACAACCAGTTCAAGCCTCCATTAGTCGAGTGTTTATATGTTGGATGTCGCATTACCATATCAAGAATTGGCGTTTATTTCTTAATATTGATGATGCGTTTCCCATGAAATCGACAACAAATTGCATTTTAACTAAAGAATAAGTATCGTTAAATTAATGGGTAATTCTTAAAATGGGTTTTGATTGATTCTATGTCGAAGTCAACACTTTTTAGCTTTCAATGTTATGAAATATATGTTTAATTGGGACGGAATCCATAGTTAAAATAGGTTTCAAAAGTTCAGCTTTTTTATGTTCGCTTTCGATTAAATAATGACACACGTTTTAGAATTATGAAAAGATGAATACGATATTTACGTATTACAGTCGGTTACTGTTTGAGAAAAAAATATTCTCACTTTAGCTTATAAATTATCTCTGAATTTCTGGATAGTTAAACTGAGTGTATTATCGAATAGCTGTATATATACAATGTTTCCATGTTTCGTGATCTATGAAATTCTTCCTACTTTTCTGAACATTATACAAGGATTCGTTTTAATTGTGTTACTGGTATGTATGTACTGATAAGGACAGAATTGAGTAGTAACAAAGCTATATCGTCGCCAACATATGTTTATGTGCCTAACCAATGTTGAGAGTCTAAGCAGTGGTTGCTTCAATTTCTCTATGCTTTGTTCACTGGTGGAACTTTGTTGATTTCAGATATTCGGTAATATCTGTTGAATCAATTCACAAGTTATCTACATGTTAAGAGTTTTGGTCTGTTTGTAATTTTCCTTGTACTTCAACCCCTCGTGTTGATCTCTTGGCTGCTATCACATTAACTAGAATACTAAAATGAGACTAATACATGATCTATAAATATGTATTGAAAAACTGATTCTCGATATCGAACCCATGGGAAGGGTGTCAACTGAACATTCCGTTTCCAAAAATACTATAAATTGATTTTGAATATTAAAAATTCACTGCTGTTAACAGGAAATGTCAAACCAAGTAAATATTAAAAAAATATACACAAATTTTTAAATATTAAATAGGACAGTGGAAGATTCAATCTTTTTTAAAATAAACCCATAGAATAAATTAGTTCATCTAATTCAGAAATTGAGGTTAATTGTTGTCGTTTTGATATTTAGAATTATTCTTAGAAAGTAGCGAAAATTGGACGTTGTTCATTTTGTACAGATATGTTTTGTAGAATGCGTGCATAGACTACAATTAATAGCAAAATATTTGACAAGAAATTTTATGTGGTTGCACTCGAAAATGCAGGATTATTATGCAATTCTCTTATTCTTATATATTGAACATCCATGGAACTGGTTTACTTGATAATATGAGTCATGTCGATGTGCATGGAAGAAAAAACTTTTTATGTCACCACCTTATCGATGACAAAGTCTCCAATCCAAGCTCTTTTTGTCCAGATAAATTGTTATTGCATTTAACAAAAATATGTAATATTTGAAATAAATGAACAATTTCTGTAAACGGACAAAAAAATTACAACGACCATTGCATTGGTATTCCATATTTGAAGAAAAAGGAGAGAAGATGCTAAAGGGCATTTAAAAAACCTTAAGTAAAAGTAAGACAAACGAATATTCCATGGCCGAAAGAAAAAGGACGAACAGAAATACTACAATCCACATAACACTACATAAAAGTCTTAATATTTACAACAAGAACCTTACAAAAACCGTATGACCATGACAGAGAAATATGAAGTTATGTTCTGTTTGTCTCAAAACAAAACTGTTTAAGATTAAAATCCGAGGAATACAAAACCAAATGTCAATATGAATGCATACGTCAATGAGGCAACAATCGTTAAACAAAATAAAGAAGAGACATCGAATGGGACGCACATACTAAAGATATGTCATTAACACCAAATTCAGTTTACACATGTATGTGGGAGAATTATTACACCAATAAACTGCAACGCTATAATTGGAACTTAAGGAAAGAGTAGACAACTCTATTCTATGTCAATATATCAAACCTGGAAATGTTTTTTTATTGATCTTTAAATTGAAATATTAAATATGAACATAGGATGCCGCCAGTGGAATTAGAACTGCTTCATTTTCGGAGCAACTGAGTAAACTACGGTTTTGGTTGAATTTATGTTGCTAAGTATTAACTGAATTTCACAAATATGATTTGACCCATCCGATATCTATTTTTACGTAAGCTAGTCTTTTTTTATGAGACATAGTTGGACTATTGCTTTAAATTCTTTAGAACATTCAAATGTTTTAATTTCATTTCATAAGAAGAGTGACACCACATCTTTTACATCCAGATTGTGTAGCTTTACAGTAAGTCGGAGGCTCGGTTTTGATTGATGCAGGGTGTCAGTTGATCTTTTCCTTCTATATTTCCTACATTTGTCCAAAACAATATTTTCCATTTTAGATGCTATATTTTATACAGTAAATGAAAAAAGATATGTTAAAACAGAGAAATTGCACTTGAACTTCATATTAACATCAAATTATACTTCTCATTTACTTGCAACAACACACACGAAGGCTTTATAAGATGTTGATGTAGGTGCCGATTGCCTTTATTGGTTGAAGTAGCAATATTAGTATCCATGATTTTTTTTTTTAATTTGACAGATTTATCTTTCTAAGACTAACACTATTCAACAACTGATAGGATGTATATGGTCTAGACTTTTAACATGTTCGTTTTTTAACCAGAATGTATATTTTTGTTTGGAATTCATATGATAACTATTAAAATGCTGCTTAAACCTCTGTCATATATGCGGTTCCGATAATGTTTGTTCTGAGACAGCATTTGAGCTGCATTAAAGAAACAAACTGGCTTGAGCTTACATCTCTAAATGAAGGATTTACCATTTTAATACTCTGATCACCGAGTTCAGAAGAAGCTGGCGTAATACATAAAACTGCGTACCACAATTAAACGATATTGACGGTTCTAGAATAAGTTTGTTAGAGGTAAAAGCTGAACTCTTTATATTCTTTTAATGAAGCAATATCAAAGACAAAATCCCAGCTGTTTTCGAGATAAACGAAGATTTGTATCGATCTTTGTTAAAATATGAAACATTTTAATATGTTCCGAAATCTGGTTTGCAAGCTGATAATTTCCCAATTAAAGATAATGAATGGGGAGTATTGTCTTAAACGATCCGGTATTTTTACTTATATATTTTAATGCTTTATGAATAAAGTTAGTTTTTATACACTTTTACAGATATTGTGGGTGGGGAGGAAAACTCAATATAAAAAAATGAATTCTGCGTATAATTCTTTAAAGGTTTTCAAAGTAGCAACTAATAGACCAACTTAAAATCAAACAAGTCTTCATATCAATAAATACATAGCTTGACAAGGCCTACGTCACCAGCAAACCTTTACTTGTCATTATCTGTAAATACAAATGAAAGCTAAGACAGATTGACATGTTATTGGATTTGAAGTACAAAGGTTTTTCA